CCTTTTCATTTTATTCCCTTCTTGAAGGTTTTGCTACTAAACAAATGACTGGCCAGCTTTGTCTAGTAACCTATAGGAGAATCAATAGGGATTGAAAGGGCACGAGGCAGAGGGGAGGGATTGTGGTTTCTTTTTTTTTTTTTTTTCCTTTTCTTTTTTCTTGCAGGAGGAAGGAACTCTGGAATTGAAAGGGAAAATTCTAGCACAGCAGATATAGGACAACACAGAAAATCCCTTGTTCACCAATAGAAAAAAAAAAATAGCTCCTCTAAGAGTATGGGATTAATTGCACACCGGCCTTCAGACTTCTGACTTTAGGCAGTTCATATGGTCCTTGGTGAAAGGCAGGGTCCTCCAGACAGTGATTCAGACAAGGAACGCAATGCACATCACAATGCATAAATGGGGAGGGACGCTGGCATCACAGTAGGGTAATACAGCATCTAACGGAGCTCTTCCAAACATAAGCCACTAAAAGACAGCACAACGCAGCTGGACCATAAACTTTCCCAAGCCCTGGAATCACCCTCTTCTCACTCACCCACCAGGTTCATCTGGCTCATAGTTCAAGATCATCTCCAAGGAGTGGCACTTCTTGCCATGAGATAGATGTGGGCGAAACCCTCATCCAGTTTAGATGGCAAAGGGATGCCAACCCCCCAAAAAACCCCAAACCCCATCAAAGTTACTCTAAAGCGAGAGCCCGCATCCTGAATGGCTGCAAGGGGCGAGTACCACCAGGCTCTGGGTGCATCATGTCCTCAGCAAAGCACTGTTGTGACAGCACTGGGGAAGGTGCCAGCACTGGCTACGACTCAGTGTCCCTGTCATCTGGTCCCAGTCCCCGCAGCAGGGTTTTCTGTTGCTGCTTGCTGCCACGCACTCCTTTTGTCTGCCTCTAATTAGTCTGTTGGCTTTTCTCTTTCTCTCTCCTCATTTTTGGGGGTCTGATTCTAATCTGCTCTGCCTTTATACTGTTCAGAGAGCTCTAGGGAGACAATCCATGTTGAGATCGTACCCATTGAGCTATGAGACGTGGCTTTGCTCTTTTCTCTCCCTTCCTTGCTCCTGTGGCCACCCAGAGCACCACACACCCTGCAATGTCCTCCGTCCACCCCATTGCCAGCTCCCCTGAGGTCAGGCAGCTAATTTCAACAGGACTCTGGCTGCCTCTTTGTGAAGCCGTGGGATAAACCTGCTGTGGCAATGAAAGCCTCCTCCTCAACCTGCCCCGGTCTGTGGCTCCTGTCCTGCCACGCCTGTCTGTCTCTCTGTGCCCGGAAATTGTCTGTCTGCCTCAAATTGCCTCTCCCCGTCAGCTCCCAGCACTCTACATCTCCCTCCTCCCTTTGCTTCCGGCTCCCCTCTCTCCTCCTCCTCTACCCACGCACCTTACTTTAATTAGAAATACAAAGAAAATGCTTATCACTATGTCTTAATCAGCAAGTCATTCCCCAGCAGGTCCAGAAGGAAAACCCCCATTCCTCCTCGCCTCTTCTGTCTCCCCCACCACCTCCGTAGAAGAAGAGCACGCAGATTAGGAGGAGAACTCAGTGGAAAGGTTGCAGAATTACATGAACCTAAAGACCTGGATAAGCTGGAGGAAAGGGCCAGCAGAAACCGTATTATATTCAACAAGGACAAATTCTGTGCCTGGTAAAAAGACCCCCTAGCAGATACTGACTGGCTGGGGCCCAGAAATGGACCTGGGAGTGCTGGGGAACAGTGAGACAAGCATGATCCAGCAGAGTGTGTCCTGGCAGCAAAAAAAGTATCCTGACCTGTGGGAGCATGAGAACAGCCAGGAGATCAATGGAAGTGATTATTCTCCTCTACTCAGGATGCATTAGACCATATCTAGATGCTGTGACCAAGTTTAGGCCCCTTAGTATGAGACATTGATCAACTGGAATGAGTTCAGCACAGGCCCTTGCGATGGTCAGGGCTACAGCACTTGTCTGGTGCCTGCTGTGGGACCAGAGCTTGTCCATCATGGAGAAGTGAAGGCTTTGGGGGGAGCTAACAGCAGTCCCTCGTACCAGTGGGAGTTGATAGACCCAGGCTCTTCACCAGAGGTGGCTGGTGAGAGGACAAGAGACATTGGGCATAAATTGAAACAAGACCCAGGTCTGGGTTTAAGGAAAAAAGGTTTTCCCTCTACGGACAGTCATGAAGTGGAGCAGGTTGCCCAAAGAGGCTTGTGCAATTCTCATCCTTGGGGCTTTCAATATCTGAAACCTGAACCACCTCATTTGACCCAGTAGTTGACCCAACTCAGAGTAGGACGTTGATCTAGAAACCTCCTAAGGTCCTTTCCAGCCTTAATAAACCTGACATACTATGACCAGACCTAAGTGCCAAATGAGGCCATTCAGACTCTGATGAATGCCCCCACTCCAAAAACTAAGGGAGAAAGGAAAAAAAAAGGTAGCAGGGGCTGGAAAGAGTCAGATTTGGTGAAGTAAGTTTTACAGCCAGTTCATTCCAGACTCTGACATTTGATGGGACAAGGTGAGGTTGAAATCAGGTCACCTTGCAAAGTTCAATCCAGTCTATAACCTGTCCCTATCCACTGGCAATCCCTTATGGGCCATTTCTGGGGACCCTGGGTGAAATCCTCTCTGGAGACTATCTTTGCACTGATCCAGAGATACACAGATTGCACGGTCTCTCCCGATTCATGTGATCTCTTACTGGCAATTCAGGTTTAAGGCAGACTCCCTGGGGTATGGAGACCACAGCATAAAAAGCTCCAGATCTGTCTCAAACCCTCAGATGGTTGACATTCGACCCTTTATAAACACAAACACAGATGTACAAAAATCTCATGCTCAGGAAAGCTGGGTGAAAGCGGAGAAGTAAGCAAGGCAGAGGACGCAGCTCTCTGCCAGTCATATCACTGTCATGATATGTGTGTGGGATAAAGTGGCATTGGGACGGTCTGCTGGGTTAGGAAGCCTGATTTACGCCCACAGGTTTTTGTTCCCTTCCCAGCTCACTGGCACTCCCCACCTTCAACCAAACCATGCAGCCTTTCTATGACAGTTTGTTTCTGCCGTAAATAACCCTCCTGTTTCCCTGAGAGCCATACGGCAGAAGTGTTTGTCCATGTGCCATCACCTGGTAGGGAACAGATCTGTGCCTTCCTGTAGCACGTGGATATGGGGGGTGTGGGGGTGTGGGGGGAAAGAAGGGACTCCTCATGTCCTTCAGCTTTACCACCACCAGTTTGCTCTAAGGGGACTCTGCTTTAACCAAA